TTTTGTTTCGAGGCTTTTTCGTGACGGAAACGTTTTATTTGAGGCTTTTCTTCAAAATACACTTTGGTTCGAGGCTTTTTCGTGACGGAAACGTTTTATTTGAGGCTTTTCGTCCAAATGCGTTTTGTTTCGAGGCTTTTTCGTGACGGAAACGTTTTATTTGAGGCTTTTCTTCGAAATACACTTTGGTTCGAGGCTTTTTCGTGACGGAAACGTTTTATTTGAGGCTTTTCGTCCAAATGCGTTTTGTTTCGAGGCTTTTTCGTGACGGAAACGTTTTATTTGAGGCTTTTCTTCAAAATACACTTTGGTTCGAGGCTTTTTCGTGACGGAAACGTTATATTTGAGGCTTTTCGTCCAAATGCGTTTTGTTTCGAGGCTTTTTCGTGACGGAAACGTTTTATTTGAGGCTTTTCTTCAAAATACACTTTGTTTCGAGGCTTTTTCGTGACGGAAACGTTTTATTTGAGGCTTTTCGTCCAATTGCGTTTTGTTTCGAGGCTTTTTTCGTGACGGAAACGTTTTATTTGAGGCTTTTCGTCCAAATGCGTTTTGTTTCGAGGCTTTTTCGTGACGGAAACGTTTTATTTGAGGCTTTTCTTCAAAATACACTTTGGTTCGAGGCTTTTTCGTGACGGAAACGTTTTATTTGAGGCTTTTCGTCCAAATGCGTTTTGTTTCGAGGCTTTTTCGTGACGGAAACGTTTTATTTGAGGCTTTTCTTCAAAATACACTTTGGTTCGAGGCTTTTTCGTGACGGAAACGTTTTATTTGAGGCTTTTCGTCCAAATGCGTTTTGTTTCGAGGCTTTTTCGTGACGGAAACGTTTTATTTTAGGCTTTTCTTCAAAATACACTTTGGTTCGAGGCTTTTTCGTGACGGAAACGTTTTATTTGAGGCTTTTCGTCCAAATGCGTTTTGTTTCGAGGCTTTTTCGTGACGGAAACGTTTTATTTGAGGCTTTTCTTCAAAATACACTTTGGTTCGAGGCTTTTTCGTGACGGAAACGTTATATTTGAGGCTTTTCGTCCAAATGCGTTTTGTTTCGAGGCTTTTTCGTGACGGAAACGTTTTATTTGAGGCTTTTCTTCAAAATACACTTTGTTTCGAGGCTTTTTCGTGACGGAAACGTTTTATTTGAGGCTTTTCGTCCAAATGCGTTTTGTTTCGAGGCTTTTTCGTGACGGAAACGTTTTATTTGAGGCTTTTCGTCCAAATGCGTTTTGTTTCGAGGCTTTTTCGTGACGGAAACGTTTTATTTGAGGCTTTTCTTCAAAATACACTTTGGTTCGAGGCTTTTTCGTGACGGAAACGTTTTATTTGAGGCTTTTCGTCCAAATGCGTTTTGTTTCGAGGCTTTTTCGTGACGGAAACGTTTTATTTGAGGCTTTTCTTCAAAATACACTTTGGTTCGAGGCTTTTTCGTGACGGAAACGTTTTATTTGAGGCTTTTCGTCCAAATGCGTTTTGTTTCGAGGCTTTTTCGTGACGGAAACGTTTTATTTGAGGCTTTTCTTCAAAATACACTTTGGTTCGAGGCTTTTTCGTGACGGAAACGTTTTATTTGAGGCTTTTCGTCCAAATGCGTTTTGTTTCGAGGCTTTTTCGTGACGGAAACGTTTTATTTGAGGCTTTTCTTCAAAATACACTTTGGTTCGAGGCTTTTTCGTGACGGAAACGTTTTATTTGAGGCTTTTCGTCAAAATGCGTTTTGTTTCGAGGCTTTTTCGTGACGGAAACGTTTTATTTTAGGCTTTTCTTCAAAATACACTTTGGTTCGAGGCTTTTTCGTGACGGAAACGTTTTATTTGAGGCTTTTCGTCCAAATGCGTTTTGTTTCGAGGCTTTTTCGTGACGGAAACGTTTTATTTGAGGCTTTTCTTCAAAATACACTTTGGTTCGAGGCTTTTTCGTGACGGAAACGTTATATTTGAGGCTTTTCGTCCAAATGCGTTTTGTTTCGAGGCTTTTTCGTGACGGAAACGTTTTATTTGAGGCTTTTCTTCAAAATACACTTTGTTTCGAGGCTTTTTCGTGACGGAAACGTTTTATTTGAGGCTTTTCGTCCAAATGCGTTTTGTTTCGAGGCTTTTTCGTGACGGAAACGTTTTATTTGAGGCTTTTCGTCCAAATGCGTTTTGTTTCGAGGCTTTTTCGTGACGGAAACGTTTTATTTGAGGCTTTTCTTCAAAATACACTTTGGTTCGAGGCTTTTTCGTGACGGAAACGTTTTATTTGAGGCTTTTCGTCCAAATGCGTTTTGTTTCGAGGCTTTTTCGTGACGGAAACGTTTTATTTGAGGCTTTTCTTCAAAATACACTTTGGTTCGAGGCTTTTTCGTGACGGAAACGTTTTATTTGAGGCTTTTCGTCCAAATGCGTTTTGTTTCGAGGCTTTTTCGTGACGGAAACGTTTTATTTTAGGCTTTTCTTCAAAATACACTTTGGTTCGAGGCTTTTTCGTGACGGAAACGTTTTATTTGAGGCTTTTCGTCCAAATGCGTTTTGTTTCGAGGCTTTTTCGTGACGGAAACGCTTTATTTGAGGCTTTTCTTCAAAATACACTTTGGTTCGAGGCTTTTTCGTGACGGAAACGTTTTATTTGAGGCTTTTCGTCCAAATGCGTTTTGTTTCGAGGCTTTTTCGTGACGGAAACGTTTTATTTGAGGCTTTTCTTCAAAATACACTTTGGTTCGAGGCTTTTTCGTGACGGAAACGTTTTATTTGAGGCTTTTCGTCCAAATGCGTTTTGTTTCGAGGCTTTTTCGTGACGGAAACGTTTTATTTGAGGCTTTTCTTCGAAATACACTTTGGTTCGAGGCTTTTTCGTGACGGAAACGTTTTATTTGAGGCTTTTCGTCCAAATGCGTTTTGTTTCGAGGCTTTTTCGTGACGGAAACGTTTTATTTGAGGCTTTTCTTCAAAATACACTTTGGTTCGAGGCTTTTTCGTGACGGAAACGTTTTATTTGAGGCTTTTCGTCCAAATGCGTTTTGTTTCGAGGCTTTTTCGTGACGGAAACGTTTTATTTGAGGCTTTTCTTCGAAATACACTTTGGTTCGAGGCTTTTTCGTGACGGAAACGTTTTATTTGAGGCTTTTCTTCAAAATACACTTTGGTTCGAGGCTTTTTCGTGACGGAAACGTTATATTTGAGGCTTTTCGTCCAAATGCGTTTTGTTTCGAGGCTTTTTCGTGACGGAAACGTTTTATTTGAGGCTTTTCTTCAAAATACACTTTGTTTCGAGGCTTTTTCGTGACGGAAACGTTTTATTTGAGGCTTTTCGTCCAAATGCGTTTTGTTTCGAGGCTTTTTCGTGACGGAAACGTTTTATTTGAGGCTTTTCGTCCAAATGCGTTTTGTTTCGAGGCTTTTTCGTGACGGAAACGTTTTATTTGAGGCTTTTCTTCAAAATACACTTTGGTTCGAGGCTTTTTCGTGACGGAAACGTTTTATTTGAGGCTTTTCGTCCAAATGCGTTTTGTTTCGAGGCTTTTTCGTGACGGAAACGTTTTATTTGAGGCTTTTCTTCAAAATACACTTTGGTTCGAGGCTTTTTCGTGACGGAAACGTTTTATTTGAGGCTTTTCGTCCAAATGCGTTTTGTTTCGAGGCTTTTTCGTGACGGAAACGTTTTATTTTAGGCTTTTCTTCAAAATACACTTTGGTTCGAGGCTTTTTCGTGACGGAAACGTTTTATTTGAGGCTTTTCGTCCAAATGCGTTTTGTTTCGAGGCTTTTTCGTGACGGAAACGCTTTATTTGAGGCTTTTCTTCAAAATACACTTTGGTTCGAGGCTTTTTCGTGACGGAAACGTTTTATTTGAGGCTTTTCGTCCAAATGCGTTTTGTTTCGAGGCTTTTTCGTGACGGAAACGTTTTATTTGAGGCTTTTCTTCAAAATACACTTTGGTTCGAGGCTTTTTCGTGACGGAAACGTTTTATTTGAGGCTTTTCGTCCAAATGCGTTTTGTTTCGAGGCTTTTTCGTGACGGAAACGTTTTATTTGAGGCTTTTCTTCGAAATACACTTTGGTTCGAGGCTTTTTCGTGACGGAAACGTTTTATTTGAGGCTTTTCGTCCAAATGCGTTTTGTTTCGAGGCTTTTTCGTGACGGAAACGTTTTATTTGAGGCTTTTCTTCAAAATACACTTTGGTTCGAGGCTTTTTCGTGACGGAAACGTTATATTTGAGGCTTTTCGTCCAAATGCGTTTTGTTTCGAGGCTTTTTCGTGACGGAAACGTTTTATTTGAGGCTTTTCTTCAAAATACACTTTGTTTCGAGGCTTTTTCGTGACGGAAACGTTTTATTTGAGGCTTTTCGTCCAATTGCGTTTTGTTTCGAGGCTTTTTCGTGACGGAAACGTTTTATTTGAGGCTTTTCGTCCAAATGCGTTTTGTTTCGAGGCTTTTTCGTGACGGAAACGTTTTATTTGAGGCTTTTCTTCAAAATACACTTTGGTTCGAGGCTTTTTCGTGACGGAAACGTTTTATTTGAGGCTTTTCGTCCAAATGCGTTTTGTTTCGAGGCTTTTTCGTGACGGAAACGTTTTATTTGAGGCTTTTCTTCAAAATACACTTTGGTTCGAGGCTTTTTCGTGACGGAAACGTTTTATTTGAGGCTTTTCGTCCAAATGCGTTTTGTTTCGAGGCTTTTTCGTGACGGAAACGTTTTATTTTAGGCTTTTCTTCAAAATACACTTTGGTTCGAGGCTTTTTCGTGACGGAAACGTTTTATTTGAGGCTTTTCGTCCAAATGCGTTTTGTTTCGAGGCTTTTTCGTGACGGAAACGTTTTATTTGAGGCTTTTCTTCAAAATACACTTTGGTTCGAGGCTTTTTCGTGACGGAAACGTTATATTTGAGGCTTTTCGTCCAAATGCGTTTTGTTTCGAGGCTTTTTCGTGACGGAAACGTTTTATTTGAGGCTTTTCTTCAAAATACACTTTGTTTCGAGGCTTTTTCGTGACGGAAACGTTTTATTTGAGGCTTTTCGTCCAAATGCGTTTTGTTTCGAGGCTTTTTCGTGACGGAAACGTTTTATTTGAGGCTTGTAGACATCCCCGTCTTTACTGCAGTACTTCTCGTTAGCAGCCTCGCTAGCTCTCGCTTCTTTAATGTACGCATTTTGACCGATCATCTTCTTCATGCTTGTGAAGCTTTTGCGTCCTTTAATACCAAGATTGATAAATCCTTGTAGGTGAGGAGTTGCACTCTCTCCAACCTCTTTTCCATAGATCATGTACTGCGGGGTCAACGCCTTAAGACGTGTTTCATCCTCTTCTGTGTAATTGTTTATAGTGAAACACCAGCATTGTGTTTTTGCTTTTGACGTCATAGTTTTAACCTGTGTACCTTTTGGTGGCTGTGAATATTACCAGCCACCTCTGTACCTCTGTACCTTTTATACCTTTTTGTGACGTTTTAATATAACGGAGCGTTTTCATTGGCTCTTAACGGAGCCTTTTGATTGGCTCTTAACGGAGGATTTTGATTCGTCCTTAACCGAGGGTTTTGATTGGCTCTAAACGGAGCCTTTTGATTGGTTAAAAACATGTATTTCATTGAAAAAATGAAGACAGTTTCATTGAGAAAGTTTCATTGAGAAAGTTTCATTTAGAAAATTACATTGAGAAAGTTTCATTTAGAAAATTACATTGAGAAAGTTTCATTGAGAAACTTCTATTGATAACAAAGAACAAAGTTTCATTGACAAAGTTTATTAATATAACATCGAGTATAATTACAACAATATTATTGTAATAATTCCAATCATTCCAATGATTATCAAAGTACACACACGGTGGAAAAATTTAGGAGATACCTGGATTTGAACCAGGGACCCTTCGCTTTGCAGGCGAACGCTCTACCACTGAGCTATATCTCCTTCATATGTAACACATGTCAATCATACGCCCTATCTTGAGGCTCAATTGATTGAGAATATGATTATGGGCTTTTGTAATAAAATAAAGAAAATGAGATTTAGATATAATGCCTATGCCATAGAATGCGATTTAGGAAAAATATAAAGTCTAATAGACCGTCTGTTTAGTGTAAATTAGACTTCCCAGTCCACGCATACCACATTCCACCTATCGGCAGACAGTTTTGAAAGGTCAGGTGCCTCGTTCGCGAAACACACCACGTGAGGGGCCTTGTAATGGCGGACCTCACACTCATATTTACTGTACTGCATTTAAATCTCATTATTAGAGACTCTATGTGTGCTTTTTGACGTGTTGATGATACCCTCTCCCGTGCAAAATTATTCCTTGTTTGTTTACATCTGGTGACCTAGTTCCTCCTCAGAACTTCCGGTACACTGGTGTCATCGGTACACACATTTAATATTATGGAAATGTGGAAAATATGTCAAACTCTCCTATTTCGTCGTTATACTGCAGTTGATTAGCTTGAACCAGCTTGTCGTGAGGGTTGAACAACTCGTGGACTTTGAAGGTAGTCTAACATAAGCTCATCATAAACAGAATGATCTGTTTATACAAACAGTGGAGATCAAGTGTTTTCATTTTGATTTTCAACTTTTTTCAACTTTTGGCATTTATTATTTTGCAGTCAGTGCTGATACAGCAGGGACACCTACGTTACAGTATAATGTAAGGGCTATGTCCTAAACAGTGTACATTACAGAAATAGTTGGATCACGACTTGATAAGTAACACAGTATCATCTTGTATATATACATATTATTATTCCTCTCTGATTTAGAAAATCTTCATGTACATGTACATGTTTTATCTAGGTCATCCCATGCCTATGTATCCAGAGAATTTAGATGTATTTCTGTAGACATTACAGTCATAATTGTTATCATAATTGTATCCTAATTATTCTCTACATCTGATAAATTTTCTTTATGCATATTGGCTACCAGTTTCAGTATTATCCACCAATGGAAGTACTTTCCGATTCACATTAAACAGCATCTGCAAAGTTAATACTATATGTTTCACTATGCTCGTATTAAAACTCATATTATTGGCACTAGCCATTTATTGCATTATAATAACCTGCAAGTTCTCACTGCATGTGTGGACATATATCTCACTTGGCCTTTTTAATTTCAGTATGTGCACATGGGGTATGGTGATCTCTCTCGTCATCAGTCTTGCAAGCAAGGGTATAGGATAGTCATGCCTGTTAGCTCACAACAATGGAGATTAGCAGTAGGGTGTTTCAACAGCTTCGCAATATATCCTCTTCACGAGTATCCTAAAGATTCAACGGTGCACTCAGAATGTCTTTTCATTAGACTAGCAACTGTGTTTTTAAGCCTCCTACTGTTCAGTGGAGGCTTACATTTTAACCTTGATATTTGTTGTTTGAAATTCATTGCACTTGCCATCATTTTTGTGTGTCAAATTTTGTATATTCTTGTGAAACTGTTTACACTTATTCTGGTCACTAGATCAATCCTTCTTTTACATTCGAACTGCATCCTAATTATTTTGAAACTTACCACTGTTGTGATGGCTTTGTGCTGTATTCCTGGATCATCATTGTTTATCCACAATCCAAGCCATTTATGTTACTACTTGATTACGCTATGCGGTGATGTGGAAAGCAATCCTGGCCCAAGTAATGATTTGAAAATTTTGTTTAGTAATGTCAACAGCATTAAAGCTGACTCACTTACACGGCTGGATTTCCTTAAAAACTATGCAAAACAAGAAAATTTTCATTTAATAGCACTCTGTGAGACTGGCCACATATCCAATGAAGATTTGTGTTCGAACATTTTTAATATCAATGAATATGGCAAGCCAAAGTACTCAAATAACAAGGGTCGAGGTCTTTTACTATGGAGCCATGACTCTATTGAGACTAAAATATGTGATCAGCATGTGAACGACGAACTCGCTAACTGTTGGGTAGAAATCCGGGTGAATTTCAAAAAATTTTTGTATGGATTCTTTTATAGATCACCATCAATGACAGCGAACGAAACTAGAAATTATTTTTCAAAACTCAAATTGAATTTAGAACAAGTGCTCGTTGAACCCAATAATGGTGTTTTTCTCAATGGAGATTTCAACGCGAGAAATGATGCCTGGTATACTGATGACCATAATAATCTTGCTGGTACTGAACTGAAAAAACTGCTCACTGATCTTGGTCTATCGCAACTTGTTAATGAGCCTACTAGAATCGCTGGCAACTCCAAATCATGCATTGACTTGTTAGTATCTGATTCTGAGCATCTCGTTTCTTTTAAAATCGATCCTCCAATTGGTAATTCTGACCACTGTTCTATTATATCTCAACTTAGTGTTAAAGTTCCACGCGAACCTTCAATTAAAAAAACAATTTTCTACTTCAAAGATGTGAATGCCGACTTTTTAAATTCAAAGATAAGGGATTTTGACTGGAGTTTTATTGGAACTGATTCTGTTAACGAAGGCACTACAAAACTTGTGAAAAATTTTCTTACTATTATCAAATCAAATGTTAAAAATAATATTCGTTCAACAAGATTTGATGACCAACCATGGTTCAATAGTTCCATTAAAAATGAGATTTATAAAAGAAATAGGCTTCATCACAAATTCAAGTCCACTGACAATGCAACATATAAAGAAAAGTATGTAACACAAAGTCGCAAAGTCAAAGAATTAATAGAAACAGCTAAAAGTGACTACTTATCTAATGTTACTTTCAAAATTGAAAATTGTGATAAAAATTCAATTAATTATTGGACACTCATCAAAGACTTGTTAGGTAAAAACAGTATTTCTTCCATTCCAGTTTTATACCTGCCTAATAATGACATTCCTGCATGCTCCAGCTTGGACAAATCTAATATGCTCATGAAATACTTTGTACAGAAAAATCTGATTGAAAATAATGCAAATCTTACACCTATTTTTCCAAGCAGAACCAATCAAATACTCCAAAACTTCAGAACTTCACAACAAGAGGTCTTTGAACTACTTAACGAGTTGGATGTACATAAATCTCCTGGTCCTGATGAAATCTCAAACAAGATGTTAAAAATGTGTGCCAGCTCTTTTTCATTACCAGTAAGCAATCTATTTAATAGAATACTTGACAAGAATATTTTTCCAGATATTTGGAAGGAGGGAATAGTTATTCCAATTTACAAAAAAGGTGACTCAACCATTGCCTCCAATTATAGACCTGTAACTCTCCTAAGTACTTTGTCTAAAGTTTTCGAACGCATTATTCATAGACATTTGCTTTCTCATCTTCTCGAGCACAATCTCTTGTATAAACTCCAAAGTGGGTTCTTACCTAAACATGGAACAACAAATCAACTAATAAATATTGTACATGATCTTCATCAACATATTGATAATAAAGAGCATATACGCTCAATCTTCTTGGACCTGAGTTCAGCTTTTGACGTGGTCCCGCACAACTTATTGATAACTAAATTAAAAGGCTATGGTTGTAACAACAATTTTATTAATCTCATTAAATCATACTTAAGTGATAGGCGTATCAGAGTCAAGGTCAATAATAACTTATCAGAATGGTCCTCTGTTCAACATACAGATGCTCAAGAATCAGATACACAAATACATAATAACAACCCTCAGATCAAGAATTATAAAATTAACGCAGGAGTTCCTCAGGGTTCAGTATTGGGACCCCTCCTATTTTTGATATATATCAACGACTTACCGGATGGTCTTGTTTCAAAGACATTCATATTCGCGGATGACACCTCACTCCATAATCCTTTTGATGTAAATGAAATATTTCTCGATATTCATGAGCCCATTCAAAGTGATTTGGACCACTTAGACCATTGGCATACCTGCCAACCTAAGACCAAAAGTTTGCGGTAGATTTTTTTAAAATTGCTGTATTTTTGCGGTAGATTTTTTCAAAATACGGTAGTTTTTGCGGTATTTTTCAACAAAATTGCGGTAGTTTTTGCGGTAGATTTTAGAAAAAAACGGTTGTTTTTGCGGTAGATTTTTTTTAAAAACTAGTTTTTGCGGTAGATTTAAAAAATACGGTAGTTTTTGCGGTAGATTTTTAAAAAATACTGTAGGTTCAGAGGTTTGCGGTAGAAATTTGAAAAAAGCGGTAGTTTTGCGGAAGATTTAGAAAAAATGCGGTAGTTTTACGGTAGATTTAAAAAAATGCGGTAATTTTTACGGTAATTTTTTTGAAAAACCGGTAGTTTTGCGAAAGATTCTGAAAAAATGGGGTAGTTTACAGTAGATTTTGAAAAAATGCGGTAGTTTTAAAAAAAAAACGGTAGTTTTGCGGAAGATTTTGAAAAAATGCGGTAGTTTTACGGTAGATTTCGAAAATTGCGGTAGTTTTTACGGTAATTTTGGGAAAAACCGGTACTTTTGCGGAAGATTTTGAAAAATGCGGTAGTTTTACGGTAGATTTTGAAACTTGCAGTAGTTTTTACGGTAATTTTTTGAAAAACTGGTACTCTTGCGAAAGATTT